CACTCTTCTGTTTGAACGGGCTGATTTTTTGTTACTTTTAGACACCGAAACAGCAAGAACGCGGGAAGCCACGGGTACACCTGACCCGCCCAAAACGTCTGAGCATGCCAAATGCGCAGTGGACGGTCTATGCTCGCACTGCACATGCCCGCATCCACCCGCACGCAGACATTGTGCACCGCGTGACCGACTCCCGCCCCGCCCCGGACATGCGCCACCCAAAGTCCGGCCCCGAGGAGGACGCCGAAGAGGACGCCCACCGCGGAAAGTTTAAGAGCTTGGACTCGTTCTTGGCACACGCCTCCGATCCACGCCTTGGCACCGCCCACCCCGCCGCCACCGCGGAGAAGGGGCTGCCCGAGCGGCCGGTTCGACGGTTGCAATCCGTCGAGTCGTCGCCAGATGTCTCGCGTTTTGTTCGCCAACTTCCTAAATCTGTACAAGAGAAGAAGAAGAAGGGGCGCGATCACCTCGAGGACACTACTGTAAGCAAGGACGTATCCCCGCCTGAAATTTCAGATTTATCTCCTGTCGCCAAACACATTGATGCCATCCTGGTCCCCGCTGGCCCACAGCACCCGCACACCCAGGTGCCCATTCTATTCGGGCAAGCGTCAGACGACTCGTCTGCCGATGACTCGTCCGACGACTGCATCCACCCTCAACCTCAACTTTCCTTTGACCATGAGTTGCAGTATCAACAGGATCTGGATGATAGTGCTAGTGATGCCGAGTACTACCACCGAGAAGGCGTCTTGAATGCCTGCAAGTCTGCCGCATCCCATCATGTCGCCCACCCCGAACCACACCATCCCGACACATCCTCAGACTACATGTCCTTTGAGGAAGTGGACCACCACTCGAGTGCGGGTGAGGAGACCGCTTCGGAGGAGGAACCATCCCCCTCACTTTCGGAAACGGAAGAGATAGAGTGCGTCCCTCACCCACGCGTAGCAGCACCAATTCGTGAAACATCTTCCTTGCTCTCTCCGCAATCGTCCGACGGACAAGTGGAGAGGTACCACTCTACCCACAATTCCACCCCACTCCCTCTTGTTCAAAGCGCAGAGGCAACGCCCCTTTCTGCCAATCACGTCTTGCCTGGAACCCGTGTTGACGATATCGCTCAAGCCTCCCAGCCTGCTGTGCAAACCCGCTCTGTCAGTACAGCCCCTGACGCTGTCCCGAAAACGTCAGAAACCACGGTGGAGGGAACAGTGCACTCGCCCCTGTCACATCATGCAACGAGTACTCGAATGTCGTTGACCTCAGAGAACAATTCGCTCACATCAGCCAATGCCGACAGATTGGATAGCCCTTCTGATGAGCAGGCAACGCCGAAAGTCCCTTTCACGTTACAGAGGGGAAGGAGGGGCAAATCGTCCGTCCGCGTCCATCACCCAGATTCCAAAAGTTTGGTTGCCAAGAGAGTTGATGACTATGAATCTTTCCTGGCACTAACAGAGGCCGAGATTAATGCATCTATCAAGCTTCCACTGCCTACAGTGACAGCGGGCGTTGCCGCTAACTTTGCCAGCAGCAAGACCGCATCGCCTCCTTCGCTTGAGAGAAGCTTCACCGTCGAACGTCGCTCGAAGCGCCTCACAAACGAAAGTCTGGTTTTGAGTTCCTGTACCACAAAGTCAGCGGGGTCTCAGGGCCCGATCAGCTTCGCTTCAGGTGCGGAGTCTTTGTTTCGTGCGGATGGCGATGGCGGTGAGGCTCAGGAGTTTGACCGATGCAACACCATGGAAATGCAGAGTCCAGTCAGACTGCGCATGCAGCAGTGTGACTCTAGCAAGGTCACGGTTTCAGAAGGATTGCCACCTTCGAGCAAGCCCGCAAACCCCACGCAATTTGATGTCTTCGATGCTCCACCTGCCGCTGAAAGTCTTCAAGAACTCATTCCTGAATATGTACCACGCGTTCAGCCTGACTTTGCCATGGCTCCACAGGAAGACTTCGGAGATAAAGTTAGGAGTCCAGACCCCAATCTCTTCCCAGAGTGCCCACTTGAAGAAATGCCGGAAATCTCTCTTGAGGATGACACAATCGTTCGGGTCGAAAGCATGGAGAAACTGCCGTCGTTCTCATTGTCACGTCAAGGCTCCTTAGCATCACTGCAAACCGAGACGTACTCATCACCAACTTCCCCAGATCAAAGCGCGGCTTCTCAAGCCGGATTCCGGGCGCAACGCCATGACAAGTGGCGAGCTAGTGATCACGATCTTTTCGCTGAAGACCCCATGACGGAATCAAGTACCAATACAGGTAATCTCTACGGACAAGCGGATACCAGAAGAAGAATGGAGAAGAGAATCACCGAAAACGACCTCGGCTCAGTCATTGATAGTGCATATTTCGAGAATTCGTTGGTCGATGATTTCGACAGCAGCAACATGATAGCGAGCATGCCGAGAGAGGGATCGCGAAGGGACGCTCCTTCAGATTCTGAAGAGGGTGAGGAACATATTGCCACGCCTTTCGCCACACTCGGAGACCGAAGCAGCTGGCAGCGACGGTCTGAGGAACTTGATTTTGTGCAACCAGCGGGATTGCCTAATAGAGAAATTGACAACAAGTCGGAGAAACTGGTTCGAAAAACTACCACTGAGTCAACTGCACTGAGCACTTCGACTCTTTCTGACAGAGAGAGGACCAAGGGGGGAGAAGGATCGTTGATTGGGAGGATTTTGCATTCTCCGATGTCGTCTCACGTCTACTTGAGCCCTGTAGCCGGACAGCCACTTCCTTCTTCTAAGGTTGGGCGATCTATGAGTGCTTCCGACAGCCAGTACAATAATTGGCCTGAATATCAGCCGTCAATCGGGGATAGTGCCCTCGTAAGCCCGCGCCACCGAAGTGACGTCGCTACAGGCACCACCGCAAGGCAGCGGGACTTGCTTCCCTTCGAGGTGCTTCATGCACATACACTGAACGATGACTACATGGAACGTGACTTTCCAATTCGTTTCCGAGGTCCTCGGAGAGCCTGGAGTAGAATCTTTAGAAGGTCGACAGCCTCGCGGGAGGCGAATGACGTGCGTGGAGCTGTAAGAAGTATTTTGCGCCTTGGCCGACGACCGCTCATCACAGATGAAGAACTGGACGCTGTGGACAGGGGACTGGACAGTACCTACCGGCATGCAAATGAAAAACCGAGCCGTCGATCGGGGACGGTGACAAGCGACTACATGTTTGATATTGATATCGAGCAAGACGCCGTTTTCACCCTCTTGAATCGGCTGTGCCTAGAGTCAGGGTTCAACGTCACAGTGAGGAGGCCGAATTACAAAATGAAGGTGCAAGTGCCGTGCGAAGGGACGAGGGTACCGCTTCTGGTTTCAATTCAGATCTTGAAGTCGTCTCTAGGCAGAGGGACGTGTGTGTCCATGGTGCGTTCGCGGGATGACCAATCGGGTGGGCCGGTGACGGATATTGAAGCTGCTGGGGTACTGCTGCGGAAACGCCTCGGGTCTCATGTCGAGTTCATCGAGGACTCTTTCTCGGAACTGTATATGCGGGATTCAGAGAAGCAATTCGGTACTCCTGCTTACGAGTAGAGTGGCAAAAACTCTTGGTCCCATCATGGGGCGATTCTTCTGTTGTCTGAGGTTAGGTTTTCAATGAACATATTTGTAACGACGGGAAGGCTATTTTTTTTCTCTCACTCCCGTGTGGTAGATGACTTTCCTCCGTAAATTCTAACTTGTAAAAACACATGCCATTGTGTGTGGACGAGGCTTCAAAATCTTCACCCCTTTTTTCGCAACTTGCAGCGTTCAACAAACAACAGCACCCCACCAATTCTACCTACTTCAAATAAAGCGGGCATGTCATGCCGCCAGAGGGGGTGTGAGGGGGTGTGATACGCAGCGGAAGTGATCTGGACCCTACGACTTCTAGGAGCTGGGTTACTTGATCTCTTTTGCACACACCAAGTTACGAACGGGAGTGCGCAATGCAGGGCGAAGCTAGAAATTTGAAAAATAGCCAGGTACAGTATGTTTTACTGAAAAGCTCTTGTGTTTTTGATCCCAGATACAGTACATGTACAGTAGTGCAGTACGTCAGGCACGATTTGCGGTAAGAGCAAGTTTGCAGACTAAGACTAAGACCAAGTACGGTACGTGTAGTTCGATCCAAGGGTCCGCTTTGGTTTCGGAGCCTGAAAGTGCGAGTGCCGGGGTTTCCTGGTCCGGACGTTGTCAACTTGACCAAGCATACTGCGAGCATCGTACCTTGTCGAAACAAGGTATCGGCCCGCGCATGCACGGTGGGATAATGCCATAGGCAACGAACACGAAAAATGGCCTCACAAGTCAAGCTGTCAGTGTCCCAGCGGGAGGCCGTTGATGCCCCCTGGGAAGGGAAGGTCACTCTAATCCTCGCAACAGCGGGCTCGGGAAAAACGTTGTCATTAACGTGGCGCACATTTAGAATTGCGAGTGAGCTCATTCAAAAGGGAAACTTGGATGCCCGATTGCTGTGTGTCTGTTTCAACAAGAGCGCTGCTGACGAGATGGCCGAAGAGCTGATTGAGATTATTACGAGCAGGCACATGTCGGGGAGCATTGCAGTCACACGGAACGCTCAGTGGGCAAGAAATATGGTCACCATCGAAGTGCGCACGTTCCATGCCTTGGGCTTTTGGATACTACGGAGTTCTTCAGCAAGCGAGCGCCAGACCATTAGGCTCACCGAAGGCAAGTTAAAACTCTTGGATGGGAAAGAGGCCCGGTCTCTCATTGGAGAGGCCCTGCGCGAATCGGGGGAGGTGAACTCACGGATACCGGAAAAGCCTCTTAAGGCATGCAGTCGTGCTTGCGAAAGACCGATGAATGCCCACAAAAGGAAACTATCTGATTGGGAATGCGAGAGACTATTGGCTCCAAATTCAGCCAGCAAACGCCCAACTCTCGGACACCATAGACCCACACCAAGCACTTACATGCGGTACCAAGAGCGCCTCCATGCGAGAAACGCCATTGACTTTGAAGACATGATTTGCAAAGCGGTACAGCTAGCAACCTCACACGAACAAGTAAGATCTAGAATGCGTTCTCGCTATACTGCAGTCCTGGTTGATGAATTTCAGGACCTCACTCCCTCGGAATTCATGATGTGCAAAATCCTTGTAGAAAAAACAAAGTCCCTTACGTTTGTAGGGGATGATGATCAGCAAATCTATTCATTTCGAAGCTCTCAGACTTGGTTTTCTCATGAATTATTGCAGAGCTGGTTTTCCGACCAACTCACAATTCTTCAGCTCTCCGAAAATAGAAGATGCCCAGGAGCAGTTGTAAAATCTGCCCGCGCAGTCATTAGCAAAAATTCTCGCAGATCTCCAAAAGATGTTGTTCCTGCAAAGCCAGATGGTGCCCCAGTGCGGATTTTCGCCTTCCGCAGTCTTGAACTTGAGCTTCAATTCATGATGGGAAGAATCCGAGCCCTGCTGCCCAAAGTTAAAGTTACGAAGGAACGCATTCTCGTGCTCTTCCGAACGAATGCTGGGCTGAGAGTATTCCAATCGAAGTTCTCATCATCCAAAATAGCGACTTCAACTGTTGTCACAGACCATGGGCGTGCTGGCACGATTGGGAGGAGAACTTCGGCGTCATTTGCTCTGATAACATTGATGTCGCCAAAAACAGATAAAGCCACCTTTATCTGGGCGGCCGTGACTGTTTCACCTCACTTAGAGAGGTCGGCCGTGGAAAGGATTTTGTCCACAGTGACATTCCAGTCACTTGTCAAGTCAGAACCTACTGCGGTTGGGGTACCTGCAACGACGAAAACCGAACCTACTAGTCCAAGTTTGACGCAAAACCCCAAGTCTTTTCCGTCCAAGTTTCTCGAAGCGTTGTCTGCTTGGTTCGAATATGAAAGCGTAACAAATGCAAACTTTCCCTCAGATGCTTCATATCAACCAATACGCAATCTTCTAGAACGTGCTGAACATTTCAAACTGAAGTTGAGAAAACTACAGACAGCATCCGACCTTGTGACCTGTGTGTCTACCATCTTGTCCTCGGACAGAGCTGGAGATCTTGACGCTTACCCAGAACTGGATGATAGTCAAGATACGTCGTTCAATCCAACTCTCGATGGAAGCATGGCAGGGCACGAGCTATTGACTACCGCGGCAAGGAAAATTGATGAGGAAGAGGATAAAGGTGATGTTGGCGGAAATGCAACGACTCAAATCAAATTAGAGGCCAAAACCAAAGAAGAGGACCAATCTGAAGAGGAGGACTTTTCCTCTCTATTCTCAAACGACAAACAGCAGCGATCCCAGAAGTTACGAAAGCATGGCGCAAAGACCACAAATGTTAACAGAAGCATACCTCAGCAGAGAGCTAGGATCGGGAAGAAGATTCAGAGGCTTTGCGAGATGTTGGATTCATCTCTCACAAGATCAGAAGTTATGCGTGGTGGAAAAGTTTCGCGGACAGAACGCCCACCGACAGTTCTCTCCACAATTCACAAGGCAAAGGGTACCACTTTCGCGTATGTATTTCTATGTAGCGCTGACACATTTCGTTTCCCTGTTAACGGTGGAATTGAAATTATGGAGTCGGGGTCAATTGACCTGCAAAGTCTCATGTCTCAGGAGGAGCGCAGGATGTTTTTCGTCGCGCTGACAAGGACGCAGAAAGAATTTGTTTGCACGTATTCTCGTCTTGACGAGCTGGGATCAGCCGATATCAGAATGTCCCAAAGCCCATTCTTAGCAGAAATGAAGCAAAATTTTGACAGTTCAGCGTGTATTTCAGAGACTGTTGTTACTACATCTGAAGATGTGAAGCATGCCCTCAAGACGTTTCGGTAGTATGGCAGTGATTCGGAGTTTATTCAAACATCAAAGGGCAGGTACCAAAACGAGGTTACAACAACATTTCACACAAGAAACAAGTGAAACTCTGCGATTGGGTTTGGCCAGGGGACCATTTGTATTGCTTGCGAGAACCGAATAGTGCAAGGTAATGAAGAAAATCAAAACCAAGATATGCTTATGGAAACTGGGACAACGCCTTCACGGCTAGTTCGCTGGGGGCGGCTGTAGAGCAGTCGACAGGATGATGCGTTTCCTCCCGACCAGTTTGTGATTCGCCAATACCGTGCAGAGATATTTGGCAAAGAGTCGCAGTACTCAGATATGAGTATATCCCTGGAGGCAACGTATGCCTCAGGCACATGTCGAACAACGGTAGATGTCTCGCCTGTTAAGTATTTATCGTTTCTTAACCCTGTGCTCCTTTTTTGTGACGGCTATTTTTTGCCCCAGTCGGGTTGTTTTCCTCCTGCTTCGGTCTTGTTGAGCGCTACGTCCCGAGAGTAGGTTCGTTGAACGCAGAATTGTGTTGTCGTTAAGAAGATAGACGTTTTGTCTCCAGGAGACCCGTACTTTTCGAGTAGTGTCCTCCCGAAAAGTGTGGGGTGGTCCTATTTTGTGATCGGGGCATAAACTTCACAAAATGCACACAAACGTCTCAAAATTCTCACAAGTTTTGTGAATCTCGCTTTGTTTTTGTGAATCTCACTTTATTTTTGTGACGTCAACATCTCGAAGTGCTCTTTTGTTGACTGTTTTGTGATTCACACACAAATTGTTTTGTGACTCTCACACCATTGTCTCACAATCATCTCCAACATCAACAAACCATCACAAACCCATCTAAAAAGCATAGCTGATAGCCTTGTTCTACAGACATTTTACGGCCTTCACTCTCGGGCTTGTGAAGCCTGCCTTATTCGTCGAGGAGTGCGTCGCTCAGAGTCAAACTCCCTCTCATGGACAGGAGAGGGCCCATGTCGCTTCAGTGTAGGGCGAGAATGCCAGACCGTCCGGCAGCTGCAGCAGATAGCTTGCCTACATGTAGAACACCACTGCACCTGGCGCGAGCCCTTTCTAAGTGTCTTGGGTCGCCCGTCTTTTGTCCCTCTTTTGACCCAACTACAGAGTACGCAGTAGGTTTGGGTCCCACTGACCTTCTCGTGCAGTAAATTCCGGTTCAACCTACGCAGTTGCGAACACGAAGGGAAGGGGAAGTGTCTCTGGAAATTAGCCGTAGAGGGCTGGAAAGGGAGATCTTTTTTGTGTGACGTTGTTCAGTTTGTATGCCTTTTGAGATGGAGAGCCTTTTATATGTGATCTTCGTGATGCCCTCACACAACTCACACAAAGCCATCACAAAATGCACACTGTCAGTGTGAGAGTTTTGATTTCAAGGTTGACGTTTGAGAGTCTTGAGATGCGTCTCACAAAACCATCACAAAAGATTCACGAAAATGTGTGATGTTTGAGACGATTTTTGTGATGATCACAAAACGTTCTCAAAAAGTGCTACAATTCAACAAATATTCACAAACCAAGTGTGACGAATAAGAAGATGGAGTGAGACGAATGAGATGACGGCGGCGAAAAGAGCAAAACTCTCACGAATCGTCACACAAATCGTCTCACTTCTTGTGACGCCCTAAATCGTCACAAACCGGAGCACAGGGTTAAGTGGTGCTGCGTAGCGATGAGTGAATATCGTGAAACCATTATTTTAAGGGATACTGTACAGTTCATTTCTGAAATTGCAAGGGTAAATTTCGGTGATGGTTTCCAGGATTTTCATCTTGAGTAAAAAATAAAGGGAGATTTCACGATCAGTAGGGGTGATATTTCCGAAAGTAGACGTCATTTGAGCTTGTTCCGGGGGGGTCCTCAGAACTATCCTTGGACTTGGGGTGCACATTGCAAGGTTTTCATTGTATGTGATTATCACAGCCGTACAGTACCCTTGCAAGGGTACAGTATGCTGCTCAGGAGTGAAGGAATCTCTTGGGATTGGTGGCTTAGGATTGGTGGAGATGCCCAAGACTCAACAACAATTACGAGTATTTCCACGTATCGCGTTGCCGAATGGCAAGCAGCGCATAGGGTAGTGCTCCACAAAGTGACAGTTCACAGGTATACGGTGGAGACAAGCCATGGGATATGTCCTGTGTGATGCCTTTTCGTCTACTTGAGGTCACCACTGCAGAATTTGAAGATGCATCCCTCGTATCTTCATCAAGAAAGATTCGACTGCTGTGTTTGCGATCTCAGAGCTGTCACGCAGCGAAAATCTTTTTTTAAGAATCGAAGACCGAGGCCTTGAGTCTATTACCAGCCACAGAAGCCTCGCCCTTGCTGAGGTCATTTACCTACCACCCACAGCAGCCTCGTCCTTGCTGGCTAGTTCAGGGGGTCTTGTTCTCTCGCCCTTCCTCTCTATTTTGGACTGAGGTGATTCAACATTTTCAACTTTGTGGGGACTTTTCCCCAGCACCTGTTCCCGTTAATACTGTACCTGTGTGACCACGTAGAGGATCTTGCTCACCAACCTAGCCCCCACTGCGGCACTGATATCAGCAGGGTACTGTGTACGATACAACAACAGTCTTCTGGTGACTTTGGCGCTTTGCACTGCAAGAGGCCGCCCATCTTCTTTGGCTTCATCCTGATTGACGATGCACTGCCAGAGGGGTATAAATGTCATTTCTGTATTGTATGTACGTACTGTTGGCACGAGAGAGAAACAAAAAAAAAAAGTTCTTCAAACCCCCGTCGCGAACAGGGTTTCAATCCCTGCACCATCCCAGACTCACGGCCAATTCAGACCACGTGATATACCACAATAATGACTCTATTGGCCTGTGCCAAATTCAGCCTTCTTCGTGCTGTCTTGCATCCTGCCGTTCGTTCCGTCATCAGTTCCGTTCATTCTCGATGAAGAAAGCGTCAGCCTTGGCTCCATGTGTGCTTCTCCGACAGATTCATGAACAGATGGGGACCCGTGCTTAGGCGATGTTGGCAACGAACCTCCAACGCTTCTCGTCAGAGGGGTCGATGTCATAGCAGTTTCAGATGTAGAAAACGAATGTCGGTAATAAGCGATAGCCCGTTCGATCGCGCATTCGGAGAACTCATGTGGTTTCTTCTTGAGGAGTTGCACTGCGTCCTCAATTGGCACCCATGTCCTTCTACGCTCCTTTGATGAGCTTGCAAATGTTCCCAGCTCCTTTGCCAAAAGTACAAAAGTCTGCACAGCAACCTGCTTCACCTTCTTAGAGACAACGATCCATCCCAGATTTGCCACTTCCTCACAACTTGATACGCCAGCCTTTTCACGTGCGACACGAATCGTAGCTTGCTGCACTGTTTCGCCTTCATTCATACCGCCCTTCGGCACAGCCCACGGGTCGTCGACGCGCCGAGCCACCATCAACACCTCCAATGCCCTCATGCTTTGTATTCCACCAGCGAATCGAATCGGCACCGCGCCGACTGCTATCTTATCTACAACCTTCTTGTTGCCCTTGATGTCAACTTGGAACCTCGGCTTGCTTCTCTTAACCATTCCTGCGTCGTCGTCTGTTGCACTGTCTGATATAGCCATTGGAAGAATTTTCTTTGACCTGGTCCTAGTGAGCTGTTGGTTTGGTTCTTTATCTTTAAACATGTGATCCAATAGTGCCTGATGAGGCGATGACCTCGACGGGGCTGTGTAAGTCGTGAACGGTTGTGCTTCATCTTCTTGATTATTGAATTCTGCCACGGGCTTGTTGTCTATGACAGAGGAGCGGGATGGAGTGATTGAGACGGATACTGGAGGAGACGACGTCCTTGCGGGCATTCCCTTGTAATATCGACCATCCGGTGCCATCCTCCATATCCATTGTTCATCGTTAATCAAGTTGAACGCCTTCGCCAGTCGCTTACGGATCTTGCGATCATCTATCGGCACGACTACCTCGACTCGAGCAGTCAAATTACGGGTCCGCCAATCTGCTGAGCCGATGTAGAATTTGCCTTCGCCCCCGGCGTGAAAGTAGAATATGCGCCTGTGCTGCAATACTTGTCCAATCCATGAGTAAACCCGAATATTATCACTCAGACCCTTGATCCCTGGTCGAAGACGGCACGGTCCTCGGACAATCAAATCGATTCTCACCCCAGCTATTGATGCTTCGTACAGCTCTTTGGTAATTAGCTTATCTGTCAAGCCGTTCACTTGACAAGCAATTCTGGCAGGTTTTCCTGCTCTGGCATTCTCAGCTTCATCTTTAATCAGCTCGATGAAGCGGCGCTGCATATTAATAGGGGCAACAAGTAGAGTCCTGAACTCGGGCTTCCATGAGTATCCAGTTAAGCTGTTAAATACATCGAGGACATCCGTACAAATATCCTTCCGACAGGTAAACAATGAGCAATCCGTGTAGAGCTTGGCAGTTTTGGGGTTGAAGTTTCCTGTCGAGACGTTTACGTACGACATCAATGTCCCGTCGTACTCCTGGCGGACAACAAGCATGATCTTACTGTGGACCTTCAAGCCTAAGACTCCGTATGTGACGTTACAACCAGCCAATTGCAATGAGCGCGCATATTCCGTATTCTGAACTTCATCCAGGGACGCTTTCAGTTCGATAATGACGCTGACTTCTTTTCCATTCTTCGCCGCCCGAATAAGTGCTGCGACAATTGGAGAGTCGTTGCCGCCACGGTAGATAACGGTCTTGATAGTGCGGACCATGGGGTCCCGAGCTGCGGCATGTAAATACAGAATTGCTGAGTTTTCAAAGCTGTCGCGAGGGTATTCGACAAGCACATCCCTTTCGCGAAGGACTTCGAAAATGGCGCCCGGGTGGGTTCGCAATCTCTCAGTCAACCCCCTGAACGGTGCAGGTACAACAGGATCCCTCATCGTCTGTCTGAACCATGGCAGAGGGACGAACGCGAGCGATATGCAGCTTGAAAGGTCTAGTATTGACGAGTCGACAACGTACACGTCCGAATCATCCAGGTGAAGTTCATTCTTCAAGTGGGTAATCATCTTCGCAGGCGCCACCTTCAACACCTCCAGTCGAGTGGCAGGGGCTTGGCGCCTGCGGTGCACCTCCTCAATGACAAAGTCAAGCAGGTTATCGCTATCTCCAAACGCGGCATCATCAATTGAGATCTTCGTATTCCTAGTAACTCTAAAGACGTGGGAGCTAACGACGGTCATCGAATGACACAAGATTCCCAAGTTGGCGACGCAGACGTCCTCCGACGCGACGAAACGGAGACTCGTATCGTCCAGAGGGATGAGACGTTTGCTCGCCGGAATACGAAACATGACCCTGCGCTTGGCGCGACACTTGGCGTTGTGCAAGATGACGTACAGATATATCTCATGGCTCTGGATGAGAGGAAAGGGATGAGTAGGGTCAAGCAAAATAGGGGTAAGCGCTGGACGCAGGTGCTCCTTAAAATAAGCGGTCATATCAGCGGCCTCCAAAGATGTCAACTCTTCCCCTCTGACGATCTCGACGCCTTGCGTTCGAAGCCTCGGCAAAAGCTGGGAAGTAAAGCAACGGTTTTGCATTTCAACGACGGTGCGGATCGCGACAGCAAGCTCCTCCTCGTACTTTGTGGGCGGGCGGACCTGGCGGCGGAGATTAATGGTGGCAGATTCAAGATCACGCGGGTCTAGTTTTGGGATGTGCCCCAAGCGCATAGCAAAGTGCTCGTCGAGGTAAAACGAGACGAGGCAAACAAACTTGAAACGATCGAGGAGAGGGACATCGGGGTCCAGGGCCATGGAAAGGACTCGGCAAATGACGCTAAGCTGGGCGAATTCCTTCGAAAAGACAATGTCGCTCTCACTGAGCTGCTGAGGACTGAGCTCGGAGAGTTCGACTTGGGGCATATAGTGGACATGATCATCGAACGGGCAAACGACGCTAGAGAAAGCGCGGCCCGAGGGAGACAGGACTCGGACTCTGCGGTTGAGATCATAGTTGGCATCTAGGGTTCCATCTAAGGACATGAGGCCCTCCTGAATAGAGGCGACTTGCTCTGCTTCCGAGACGAGGGAGGACGGGGTTTCCACCGGGAGAGCGTCGGGGTCATGACTGGGCGGCGTGACCTCGCCGTTGGAGGGAGGCAAGTCGTCTGGAGGGTTGACGTTGTGCTGCTTGACGGCGGCTTCCGTGAGGGCAGTGAAGTAGGAGGCGACGTCGTCTGCTTCTGCGACTGACTCGGCCTCGCCATGGACCGAGGGCCATCTCTTCTTCGGGAAGTTAGGGCTGTTGTCCACGGAGGAGGCGGAGCTGGAGGCGTTTGAGCTCGCGTAACCCCCCGAATCGGAGCGGGAAGCGGCTAGGAAAACCGGCTCGCGTTGCATGTCTCAGGAAAGATGGGGGGCGGGGCGGGCAGTGAGAAAAGTCAATCGGGGGAACAGGGAGTATCGAGCCGAGCAGGGGAAGGCGGTTGAGAATCAATGATGAGAAGCTACGAGACAGAGAAGGGGGACGGCGGAGGGAGGGCAATTCTTCTCGGGGCCGCGGGGGTAGGAGGGGAGATACGGTAGGTGAGGTGTCTGTCAAACGCCAGTCGAACGTGAGGGGCGCGGCAGTTGGCGAAGGTTTAAGTAAGTGGCTGGGATAGCACCCAGCCGCGAAGAAATGGCACCTGTCACGGGTGACCTCCGAGCATTCGCACGACACCTCTCGAATCGAGAGTCTCGCTGCCACGCGTGACATTCTGTCACGTTCGTTGTGACGCGCCTGCGGTACGGGCACGCGACAAGTGCTGTCCTGGCACTGGTACGTTCTCCCCTCGCTCGTCTCAGCGCGCGGTGCCGGATACCTCCGAAAACATCACCGCGTCGCAATTGGTCGATCCCAACCGGCCCGCCCTCGCATCGACGCTCCCTCGGCTCGTCATCGGCGACGCTTCGCCCCGCCGCCTCAAAACGCCGGCCGCCACAGCACGTGGCTTTCCGAAACCCCTACATGCCCCCCTCACCAACGTCATCAGCATCAATCGCGCACCACCGCACTCACGGCGGTCCGTGTCCAATGCTGCTTCGCCACACCAGGGAGAACCCGACCCGCGCTTCGCACGCTCGCCCCCACCGCGTGTAAAGTCACGAGCTTGACCATAACCCCGAGCCCAGAGGGCCTGGCCGCGAGACAAAGCAGTTTTAGTTGCAGCGGAGGGTTGTTGCTTGGTGATGTTGGGTATGAGCGGCGCAGCCTTACTCCTGCCATGCAAATTTTGCATCCGCTAAAAGCGGCGCGCCGATATTTCGCCGCCGGCCTATCACAACGAGTCGCAAAGGCTGCGAAAAGCCGCGATTGGCACGTGGGAGCCCGAGACGGAACCGGGCCGCCATTGGACAAACGAGGGACCCTGTGTGGCTCCGGGCCTCACACGGGAGATTATTGCTTTTCCACAGTTCCGCCCTGGGCCGACCGTGCCACGGTCTGTATCTGGCGGTATCACCTCTGGCCCGAGCAAAATAATTAACATATATATATGGGAAATATCACGATTCGTTGGCGAACTCGTGCCATTTGGCGTTTCCCCTACTGATCGTGAAATCTCCCTATATATATTTATATAGGCTTTATATATAAGGGTCAAAGTGTAGATTTGTATATATATATATACAAATCTACAAAGAAAACATAAAGAAAACATAAAGAGAAAAAGACATGATGAGAAAGGAAACTACCAAGAGGGCGGCGCAGCCGGGGCTGGGCGGGCAAGAGAAATAGACATGGCCAGGAGAGGGGGGCTGGCAAGAGGCTCACGATGGCGCCATAAGTACCACGGAGCAGCGAGACTGCGAGGTGAGGTACGCTCGGTTGACTGATAGTAATTACAGCCACTCGCTATTCTCCGGGGAGTTTCACCCCTATACACGCTAGCGTGTACAGAGACGCATACAAATCTACACTTTGACCCTTATATAACCCTTATATATGGGTCATTCTGAGATATATATTTATATATATATTTATATTTGCTTCTTCCACTCTCTCCATCTATGCCTGGTCGCAATTACAGCACATGACAGTGACATTCGGGAACAGTACAGTCAGGATCGCGATACTGTAACTGCAACACCTAGCCCCGTTACAAGTTCGTGATATTTTTTGCGCACTGTAGCCAAGCGTGAAATTTTTCTGAAATAGTGACATTCACATTCCCACAGTGTGCATAGAGTGATATATAGGGGTTTGGATTGTCCACTGGCTACGAGTGCAGACACGCGCCGAGTGCAGATATGTGCCCCGAGGCTTGCCGAGGGCACCATATCGCAGCACGAGGCTGCGTGTCTTCACGCTGTAGCCAGTGGACAATATGCTTGTCTACCGGCTGACAGTGAAATGCTCGGCCAGGTAGATGTATGACACAAGTCCACCAATGATAAATCGCTGTTTTCCGCCGCCGTCGCTGTCGATGGGCTCCGCCGCCGTCGTCGCCGATGATATTTCCGCGACTGGTGCCGTCTACTCAGACCATCCCGAAACCCGCCTCAGACATTCCCCAACACTCCCTCCCATCCCCTCCTTCCCCTCCCGTTTCTCTCCTAGCCCTCACTCAATACCCCTACCCCTCCCAATTCTCACTTCAACTCCCGCCCCATCATCAGACCCCACAACATGCCCTCATCCCCTTCGTCTGTCCCAGGGACGCCGCCTCCAGGTTCTGGTGGATCACATGCGACCGTTCCTGACACACCCCCATCAGCTTCCCGCCGGCAGTCGAAGGCAGCAACTGCATTTCTAAGCAAACGTATGCCGGCCAACACAAAACGTGCCAACATATCCTCTCTCAAGGCGCTGGCCCGCTTCACAACATCACGTCCCGGATTTTTGGATGCTGCGTTCAAAGGGGAAGAGCATCTGCGCGACCACATTCTCATGGGCGAGTCTCGTTCAGAATGGGAAATTCTAGAGACACGGAAGGCCGTATTTCCTGACTGCAACTACAGCCACATACCAGCGCACCACACTGCTTGGACGACCCAGCAGCTAAAAACCGTACGGTTCCATCTCATTGAATTCGCTGTAAACTACCGGTCGAAGTCCGGTGAGGAAGTCAAGCCAATTACTATGAGAGGCTACATTTTAGGGCTTCAAAGAGTATTCAAATATGAGTGGGGTTATGATCTAAAGCTTCTCGAAGGGGATGTTTTCAATTGTCCAGTAGAAGGGCTCATGGTTGTGCTAGACAACAAGTTTAGCTTGCAGCAATCGACGGGAGTTGTGGCTGAGAGCCACAACCTACTGTCGAAAGAAGACGTCATCAAGCTTTATGAGTCGCCACTGCTGGACCGCGATACGCCCATGGGATTTCAAGCACGTCTAGTATTTAGTGTCGCATTGATCACAGCAATGCGCCCTTCTGCATTGGTGCATTTAACAGTTGGACAAGTGCAGAAAATAACTTGTGGCGGGGAGCAGGTGTGGAAAATATGTGGAGTTATTGGCAGCCGCGTGGGTGCTTCGAAAACGGCGACGGGAGGGTGGAAGGCTGTCCAGGACAAGCCTCAGGAGGTGTGCGTTTGGAACAGGACGTGTCTCGGCGGCAAGCTCAATTTATTTGAGGATCTCGAAGACTACATGCGGATTAGGAACTCGCTCGATTGCGGAAGCGACCGATTCTTTTTGGCAGCTAATGCTCGCGCAACGACGTTTGAAAACTTTTTCAAGCGCCAGCACCTAGGCCGGAATGCATTTGCACGTATTGTGGGGAGCATCTGTAGAAAGGAGGGAATTACAGGGACTGGAGTCAAGCAAGGTATGACGTTGCATGGATTGAGAGGCTCTGTGGTGACGTTGCTGTTCGAGGACGGCCAGAACGATGTGAATGTTGCAATGAGAACAGGACACCGTGATCTGTCGTCATTGAAAAGCTACCACAACCTACGAGGTGCTCGCGGAATGCAGCAACAAGCCGCAATTTTTGGAGACTCAAATGCGAAACGTCAGAAGGTGGAGGTCGGGTGTGAAGAGCAGGCGGCGCAGGACGGACAAGAAAACTTAGCAGCAGGCGACGAGGTGGAGGAATGTTTTCAGGAAGGTGGCACAGAAAAAGAAGACAGAAATATGCGCCTTTTATCTGGCGTCCAGAATATCAGCGGGGGCGTTTTCACTATTAATGTGAACAATCACTACCGCTAAGACTACTTTTGGTATGTCGCATCGTCAGTAGTGTTCTCTATAGTACGCTCGAGTAAACTTTGTCGTCCTGATTTGTCTGCACAGTAGTGCAGACAAATAAGGGCCTTGCCCTACTGTGTTCGATTTTGTTAAGCTTGTTGCCCGAATTGTCGCCGCGGTAGTGCAGACAAATCAGGGCCTTACGTTTGTCCCGTATGTCACGGTGCGTATGTCCCCCTCAACCGGTAGACAACACTCCTAGGAATCACGTCACAACTCTAAGGTGATTTTTTTTGCACTGGCAAAGCGTGAAAGTTTATGAAATAGTGACATTCACGTTCTGACAGTGAGCAACGTGATATCACTTTTGGAATCACGCCGAAGATCGTGCGGCATTCACTATACGCCACCCAGATATCACGTTCTCTCCTAGAAACGGCAATCCAGCTCTCGCCTCCCCCTGCAACCCTCTCCGCCCTTGCACTATCTGTCTTCCCTTGCGAGCAGCCCTTCCTTCCCCCTTCGACTCTCCGTTTACTCACTGGGCTGCACCGCATCTCCTCTCCTTTCGGACCAGCTTATTACCCTCTCCCGCTACAATTCCAATACCCGTCACATTTGTCAGCTGTATTTGATTATCAACGAAAGAACATAGAGTTCTGAATTCTGTATTTTGACATGATGTTGTGGCAGGTTTTGTACTTTCGAAAGAACTACAAATACACGAAGGCAGTGTTCTGATACATTCCTGCACGTTTATTCCGTATATATGAACTAGACGTTCATCAATATGATTTAGAGTGCTTTTATACGTGCCATTTTTACGAGTCCTCATGGGGACTTCTCTCATGAGAATTCTTTAATGGCCTTC